AAAAGAATTATGTGAAGTAATGAATAGGTGTTTCAACATGGTTATATTTAATGTAGTCGAAATGGCCATTTATGCGAAGAGGGAATGCTGGATAAAGACATGAAGAAAAATATTCTGAAAATGGTTCGACAGAGATGGTATTTCAACGCGTAATTTGAATTCAAATAAAGGAGAGAATTTTCGTTCTTATCCAGATTTATGAAGAAGGACACATGGAGTTTTTCAAGGAAGAGAGACACGCCGAGTGCCACTTGTCATTTGTTTATGGTGTAACCGTTAGGGTCGGTTATTTTCTACCATTATAAATAGAAGGTCTTAGTGTTAGAATATGGGGTGTTCCAAAGATTGTACAAAATTTCTGAAAATACTCAAAGTTTCTGCGTGTAGAGAAAAAGAATATGTCGAAGGAAATGTACGTTTGTTACACCATATCTTTATGCTTTTAATGCTAATTTTATCTTTTTATCACAAATTTTATCCCTTTAGTGTTCACGTTATTTAACTGTTTTTTGATTAAGTTTCTGCACATTACTTCTTCTAAAATTCGAAGTCTTTAGTTGTTAGATCATGGATAATACTGGAATCTTTATTATTCCCCAAACCCTTAATTAAGAATTACTAGCACATGTCTTAGGATTTGTGTGGTCAATCCTGTACTTAACCCAATTTCTTTTAATTGGAAAGACCAGTGGTTGTTTACAATTTTTCCAGTAAACAATTGTAAAATCAGCTTGTCAGCCAGAGTCTACAGGTTGTGAGGCTCAAGAAAGGCTGACATGCTTTATGAATATCTACTCTCAATGGCTCTAATAGTATAGGATCTCTTGAAGACTCAAAGGTTAAACATGTTACACATTGGATCAAGATCTTCTGGTGTACTATCTTCAACATCTCTTGTACTATGGAGAAAAAGCAATGACTCTTGATCAAGTTACCTCTTCAACGACTAGTTTCTGCAAAGGCTGTATATATGGATGATGGTTCAAACTGAATCCTTAACAAGGATTATCCAGAATAAGGAGTAACAAGATCAATAATTATCAACACCATTGTATATGCACATTTTCTGTTGTTTGTTGTAATTGTAAAATCCTTAAGATTTCTTACACATTGAATATCTTAAAAAAACTTAAATGCTTCAGGTCTTTGTTATGGTGATTTCCCGTACCTCTGATACTTGTATAAAATACACCTTGTTATCTATTTTGCTGAACTTGTTTAGCAGTTTAGATCAAAGTCTCTTGCTATGTGTTTGAGCAAAAGTCTTAAGTCATTGGGACTTAAGCAAGGAATTCTCGAGCCAAGATGTTTGAGCCATGTAAGTCTCTTTCTATGTGCTTGAGCAATGCAAGTCTTAATCAACTAGGTTGATTGAGAAGGAGTCTTAAGTCATTGGGACTTAAGCAAGGAAGTCCTGTGCCAAGATGCTTGAGCCACATAAGTCTCTTACTATGTGATTGAGCTGTGAAAGTCTTAATCAAGTGGATTGATTAAGCAAGGAAAGTCTTGAGCTACAGTTTAAGCAGGAAAGTCTAGCCAGAGTGGCCTTGAGCAGAAGTCTCGACCAGAGTGGCTTGGAGCAGAAGTCTTAGTCAGAGTGGCTTGGAGCAGAAGTAGGAAGTTTTGAGTTCGTGGAGCCTAAGCAAGAAGTCTCGAGTGAGGAACTTGAGTAAGAAGTCTTGGACCTTGGGTCTGAGCAAATGTAAAAGTCTTATGTATAATGTATAAGCGATTGTAATCATGATTTAATTATAGTGAAAATCTCTTGTGAAGTAAGGGGACTGAACCACTCTCAGTTTGGGAAGAACCAATATAAATCTTTGTGTCTTCTACTAAGAATTAACTAGAATTTGAACACCAATTTAAAATTTTGAACTCTGATCAGATGCAAACTAAGAAAACGAAAAACACAATTCAACCCGCCCTTCTTGTATACTTTTCTCACCTTAATATGTGTTTTGGGAGGTGCCACATAAGAATAATGGTGATGTGACAAATATCGAATATGTGACTTATGATGTGTCGTGATATAATCTGCCGTTTCATATTTAAAATATTATATAGACAGAAAGATTAATCTATCGACAAATTCTTAAATTTTTATCGATTACATCATATAACTAGCATATTTTTTTAAAAGAGAAATAACTAACATATATCTCCCTCCTTGTCTTTTTTTCTTTCTTAAAAATAGAATATATATATTATATTATTCACTTATTTTAAATAAACATACACTTATAAATATCTATTATTATACACTTAAATATATACTTTTAAGTAATATACACTTAAAACATATTACTAAAATAATACTAAAATATATTACTAAATAATAATAAAGACATGTCATTTTTTATTTTGAAATATTATTTATATATATATTTTTAAGTATTATTTTGAAAATACTTTATAAAAATAATATATAGTACTAAAATAAAACAATATTTTATTATAATATTATATATTACACAATACATAATATTTTTAGAATAATTTATAACTGTTATGTGTACTAAAATAATATCAAAATATTTATTAAATAATAATAACGATATACTATTTTTTATATTGTCGGTTAGAGATAACTCGTTCAATTTTACAATTTTAAAATTTCTTCAAAATTTACAGGGATTTCTCCACACAATTTTGTTTATTAATTTTATGTTTTATTTTATGTTTTGTGAGGGAATAAATCCCAAACACCACATAAATTTAGTGAGAGGATTTTCATTTGACATATACCATTAGTTAAACAAACACTTTCTTGTAGTGAATTTCGTCTATCTCGTATCTCCCATTTACGTCGAAAAGTCTAAGTCGAAACTAATAGATGCATAAAGCATTGACTTTAGCTTTAACAATTTCAATCATCTTTGCCATGTTCCGGTCTCGTATGCCATTACTTAGGATTGGTGGGTTTTCATGGATGATGTAATACAATACGACTTTGACATTTTCTTCTGAATACCGTTACACATCTTCAGGTGCAATTAGTTTTAATGTATTTTGCTTATTCAAAATAATAATAAAAATTTAAAGTAAACTATATCACCTTTCATAATATGACAAGTGGATTAAAGTTTGAAAAAATATTTTGCAAAAACAGTATATAATACTAAAATAGAACAATATTTTATTATAATATTATATATTACATGATAGTTAATATTTCTAAACTAATTTCTAAATGTTATGCTCACTAAAATAATACTTAATATCAACTAAAATAATAATTTCTAGAAATAAAGTAATATATGATTTCTAAAATAATTTTTAAGTTTTATTTCTGTAATAATATATTTAAAATATTTTATTTCTATGATAGTTAATATTTTAAACAATATTATTTCTAAAATAATATATAAAATATTATTAACAGCACACCAACATAATTTCGAAAACAGTATTATTTTTTAAAATACATCAACAACTCACCAATTATTTTTAAGTATTATTTCTAAAATAATTTTGAAAATACTATTAATAACACATAATACATAATATATCACATAACACTTAATAACGCAGCAACATCAACAAATATAAATACTTCTAAATTTTAAAAAAAAATTGAGAAAAAAAGTGTATATTGGATGAACAAATCAAACAAATACAAATCTTTAATTTGGATTTCCTTGCAAAATTTTAAATCTTTATAAAAATAAATGTAAAATGAACCAAAAAAAAAGTTAATATTAAGGATTTGATATAAACTGAAAAACAGAAAATAAATGAAAATTTTTAAAAATTACTTTAAATTTTTAAAAATTACTTTAAATTAGATGTGTTGTTTAAGATTTGTTGATGAGAAAACTAATTTAGATGGTGAAGGATTGAGATAGAAGAAGTAAAAATGGAAGAAAATTGGTTGGAAAACAAAGAGAGCAAAAAAGAAAAAGAAAGCTGAAGTAGAAGCAATGAAATGGAAAAGTGAAAATCACATTGGAAATATATGAAGTAATTTGTGAGCGGGCTTCCCACGTATGCTAAACAATCATAATAAACTTGAGGATAGCCTCTCGCAAATTATAAGTGCATCATAAAGAAGCTGACACACAGGTGATATGATAACGTGCAGAGAAATCACAAAAATTGAGGGGTTACATCTCACAAATGCAACACAGGTGATATGATAACGTGCAGAAAAATCACAAAAATTGAGGGGTTACGTCTCGGAAATGCAACAATAATAAGTGGTTAGGAGTTCCCCTCACAAATGTAAATGTCATCATTAAAACAACTAACACACGTTAGTCGTGATAGAACAAGAAGCATAATAATCTCAATGTGCGTGGAGTGTCCCTCCCTCGCAAAAGTTACAGAAAATATTGACTTGGAGTAATCTATGCTTAATTTCAAAATTTAATTTTTTTTTATAAAATATGTGAGGGTTTCCCACATAACTTTGTTTATTAATTTTGATTTTTATTTTATACGTTGCAAGAATATAAACTCCAAACAACATTTAAATTTAGTGGGGGATTTTTACTTGGCAAATACCCTAGATTAAACAAACATTTTCTTTTAGCGTTACATCTGTCTAGTATCTCCCATGAGAGATGCATAATGCATGAATATGTTGGAGGCTGATTTATTTCTTCCTTTTTCATAATCATAGCATTGGAACTTTTTGTAATTACTTGCATTTGACTTTAGCTTTAACAATTTTAATTGACTTTGGCTTGTTCCGATCTCGTATGCCATTTCTTAGCATTGGTGGATTTTCATGGATGATGTAATAGTACAATTAATTTTAATTTTAATATATTTGAATTTTATTATATTTTTCCTGGATACCGTTACACATCTTAATAATAAAAATGAAAAGTAAACTATATATATCACCTTTTCATAATAGGACGAGTGGATTAAAGTTTTAAAAAATGAATTGACTTAGGTATCAATTGTTTATTCAACTATCCATTACTAGAAGGTTACGCCAAACATTTTCCTTATAAAAGCATGCTTTTTTTCTCAGCAATGAAGATATAAGCCAAATGGAACTCCAAACATTGCTCCCATGGTTACTTTTTTCTGCAACTCTCGTTTGGTTCTTCTTCTTAACTACAAAAACACTACTAAAATCCCCAAAAACACCCTCCTCTTCCACCGCCATTCCTAAATCTTACCCTATCTTCGGTTCTGCTTTTGCTTTGTCAGCTAACTTCAACAGACGAGTGCAATGGATCTCCGACATCCTCCAAACCATCCCTTCCTCCACCTTCGTCTTCCATCGCTCTTTCGGCTCCCGTCAAGTCTTCACGGCTGACCCTGCTGTAGTGCAACACATTCTCAAAACCAATTTCCCTTGCTATGGTAAAGGTATCATGTTTTACCAATCCATCAATGATTTGCTCGGCGACGGAATCTTCACCGTCGACGGTGAGGCTTGGAAGTCCCAAAGACAAATCTCCAGCCACGAATTCAACACGAAATCCCTACGAAAATTTGTTGAAACAGTAGTTGACGTTGAACTCTCCAATCGCCTCCTTCCTATTCTCTCAGAAGCTTCTATAAACCAAACCACTCTTGATTTCCAGGACATCCTCCAACGTTTCACGTTCGACAATATTTGCATGATAGCATTTGGATACGATCCAGAGTATCTTCTACCTTCTTTTCCCGAAACACCGTTTGCAACCGCTTTTGACGAAGGCACACGACTCAGCAGCCAGAGGTTAACCGCGGTGACTCCATTGATATGGAAAGCGAAGAAAATCCTTAACATCGGAACGGAGCGACGGCTGAAAGAAGCAGTTGCAGAAGTAAGAGGACTCGCCAGGAAAATTGTTAGAGCTAAAAAAAAAGAGCTTGAAGAAAAAACATTATTGTTGGAGTCGGTGGATCTTTTATCGCGTTTCTTAAGTTCAGGACATTCAGATGAATCTTTTGTAATAGATATTGTTATAAGCTTTATCATCGCTGGGAGAGATACAACTTCGGCCGCACTCACATGGTTCTTTTGGTTACTCTCTAATCATAGTCACGTGGAGAATGAGATTCTTAAAGAGGTTAATGAAAAATCGGAAACTGTTAGTTACGATGAGGTGAAGGATATGGTTTATACTCACGCGGCGCTATGTGAGAGTATGAGGCTGTATCCACCACTTCCGGTGGATACTAAGGAAGCGGCTTACGACGATGTTTTGCCGGAGGGGACTGAAATAAAGAAAGGGTGGAGAGTGACATATCATGTATATGCTATGGGAAGGTCTGAGAAAATATGGGGAGCTGATTGGGCTGAGTTTCGACCGGAGAGGTGGTTGCGTCGGGATGAGGATGGGAAGTGGAGCTTTGTTGGGATGGATCATTATAGTTATCCAGTTTTTCAGGCTGGGCCAAGGGTGTGTTTAGGGAAGGAAATGGCGTTCTTGCAAATGAAAAGGGTGGTTGCCGGGATTATGAGGGAATTTAGGGTGGTCCCTGCTATGGAAGAAGGAGTTGAGCCGGAATACAATGCGTACATTACCTCGGTAATGAAAGGTGGCTTCCCGGTAAAGATGGAAAATCGTAACAACACAAATGAATACATATAAATAATAAGCCATCATTTGATATTTAAATTATCACACTACAGTTTAGTTTTTGAATTATAGGAATAAGAATGTAATAAATAGTCCTAAGTTATTTTTAATTCATCCAGATAGTTCGATATTTTTATGGTATGTTTGAATCATTATTTAAATTCTAGTGTGATTTATACCCAGCCACAAGAACTTTCATTTAATGTAACTTCTATGTATAGATTACTGTGCATATGATGGTTATCAACAACTACTTAAAAAAACAAAATGCCATTGCATCTTAACATAATTTAAACATACCACCATCACAACAATTCTCATGTGCAGACACAACAGAAAACACTTTACCATTGAGACATTCTTCCCTTTTTGATTAAGTTTACAACTTAAATATATATTAATTCTTTGTTTTTCTTGTGTATTTTCAAACTTCTCTTTCCTGAGTTTCTTCAAACTTTTTCAACCTAGGTTGGAAGTATTGGGCTGCTGGAAAATAGTTGTTCCATAGGCTGCAAGCTACAGAAACTTTATTGTGTTTTAAGGTGTGTTAGAGGAACTTGTAAACAGATTGGATTGGTATCTATATATGCAGTACTGATTTTGTTTCTCTTTTCTTTACTAAAACATTTTTTCTCCTGGTTTCTATTACTTACTAAATGAACATTTTTACCAAGGTTCTAATTGAATTCGTTAACCATAGTGTGAATGTTATTACTCAATAAAGTAAAAAGGTTCTAGTTAATTTATAGATCTCAATTTTAAGTATTCATATATCATCCATGTCCATATCACTTTTGTTGTATGTTTTTAATGGTTTATATACTGCACTTATCATTATATAGAAATCGAAACAAACCAAATCCAACCTTAAAAACCAAAACCATAAACCCGGAAAACCAAACACTACAATAGAAACTGAAATTGAAACCAAGAATCCATAAATTGAAACCAAAAATTCTTGTGTTGATTTAGACTTTTATTTACTTGTAACAATTGTTTAATTTTTGTCTTTTTCGTATTGATAAATCTTTGTCTTCTTTTTAGATTTGGAGTTTGGAGAAAAAAATCATTTGAAGAAGATAAAGATTAAAAAAAGAAAAATTTAAATATATATTTCATTTGTAAATTAAATCACCAAGAGGTGATGTGGTCTAGTGATAAATTGTGTTGCATAGTAAACAAGGGGTCCTTGGTTTGAAATTTAACTCAAAGAAACTTTTTGGAATTTTGATTTCTCTTAATAATGGACGGATGTCACTCGTACGAACATGTGCTACGTCGGATGCCATTAGTGCAAAAATAGACGTCGTTTGTGAAAATTGGACAGAAATGACTTAAATGACGTTGTTTGAAGAGATAAAGGATTACATTGATACTTTTAAAACTTAAGAGATCAAACTGGACCTTGAGGAAAAGTTAAAGTGATCAAAAAGGGTAATTTTCTAAATTAATATTTGACTTTCTATTTTTAATTAATTCATATGGCGTTTTCTCTATGATAGATATAATGATCACTCTGTTTAAGACGTGGTATGTGATGTTAAACGTATCCTCCTAAAAGTACTTAGGCTAACTAATCTCATTGATCATACTTTGTGATCATTCTTAAAAAACATGATTTTTACGCTCCACAACACCATTTTTTTGTATTGCACGAACATGAGAAGTCATGAAGGTTGTGTTTAAGCTCTTTAACGATAAGCACGCCACTTATGGTGACTATGGAGGGATTTCCCACAATACTTTCACCTAAAATCTTACCTCGAATATTGTCTCCATATGTGATGTAGTCGCACTCTTTCTTGATAAAGTCAATAAACATAGAATTGTCTCCCATCATATTCATGAACAAACACTATCCTGGAACAAATTTTTATTTGTAACTGTAAGAAATTTTTGAATGAATATCAATAATGTAATATAGGTACATGTTGCGGTGAGAATAGGATATCAAATTATTAATTAATTTGAATCACGAATCTTTAGTTCACAATCGGTCTTTGATTTATCCGAAAGAAAGGTTAAAGAAAGGAAAAATCTAGTTTTGCATCGTAAACACAATGCAGGGAGAGAACTTAGATTCGGGGGTTAGTTAAGTTTAGGGAAGGTATTAACACCCTAAACTTTTGTAGTACTCTACAGGAACCTCTTGTTTTAAATGCTGCTATTACTAAAATTATCTGCTTAAAGGTTAATGCTAAGGGTTAAAGGTGAAAAGAAAAGACCTAAGGGTTAGTCCTAAATTTACTCGCCAAGACTCACATCTTGTGCCTACGTATCCGAGATAGGGGATGGAATCAGAGTAATCGTAGTTCTCCTCGAAAGGGAGGAATAGAAACTTCTTGACGGTGGTCAAGGTTTCAATGAGGATGCAAACGTTCTTAAGGAATCGCTTGCGTGGAGTGCGGCGACTCCTATTTCTACGTTGTAATTGAATTGAATTAAAAAAGGTAAAATAGGTATTCCACGACGGGAAACCTAATATGGAGTGCGGCGACTCATTATCCTAATGCTAGGGTAAAGGGTAAAGGGGTCCACGGCGGGATTCCTAAAAATATGAGCACGGCGACTCAAAGTCTCAAGGTTTGAAAGAGGTGAAAGATGGACGAGGGCTATTGACACGACGGTCAAACGGTTAGACCTATCCTTCAAAGGGGAATTTACGGTAAATAAATATAATGAAAAAAAATCAAGCAACTATATTGAAATATGGGAAGTGCAAGAATGAACAGTAATGAGATAAAAACCAACGATATCCTCGCATAATTTACAACTATGAAAAATGAAATACAAAAAATATGAAGATAGTAAACAAGAAAAAATGAAAAATAATGTTAGGAATGAAATAAAAGTCAGACAAAATTAAACGAGACTAGGTTAGGGATCAAATTAGCAATTGGGTGACGGTTCAATTAGAAACTAAAAGTAAAATGTTAGAGAATTAGAATTAAAAAATATTAGAATTTTTGAATAAAAAATTTTAGAATTAAAAAAAAAAAGTTAGAATTTCATTAGAGTTTTAAATAAAAGGAAGTTAATTGTAAATTTTAAAAAAGAGAGTTATATTTTATTTTTCTTAAGAAAGTCAATTTTAATAATAAAAGGTTAGATTTTTAATTCTAAAAAAAGTTAGAGTTTTAAGTAAAAAAACTAAGTTATAATTTTAAAAAGAAGTTTAGAATTTTAATTAAGAAAAAGGTTAGAATTTATTAATTACAAAAAAAGTCATTAGAATGTAAAAAAACTGAATTTTAATTAAAAAATATTGTTAGGTTTTATTCAAAAAAGAAAGGTTAACTTTTAATTAAAAATACCATAAAAAAATAAAACAAATAATAAAAATTTAAAAAACAAGAAAATAGGTCGGGCTGGGTCACCACTCCCCAGACCCGACCCGGGCCAATATATCTAAAGGGGGAGGGAATTGAGAATTAGGGTTTAAACCCTAATCTCAAACGGCGGCCGCGAACACCTTTGTGGTGTTCTTGCTAACTTTTTTTTCTCTTCTTCTCTGTTTTCTCGTGACCATCTTCCTCTTCTTCTCTTTTTTTCCGACCATGATTCTCTTCTTTTTTTCTCTCTTTTCCGGCAATGCATCTTCTTCTTTTTCTTTCTACCATGATGCTCCTACTTCTTGTCCTGAAACAAACATACAAATGATTAATCATGAAGTTACATTACGATTTGACGATTTTTGTTGGCGGTGATGGTGTTCTGGACCGTGATGAGAACATATTTGAAGTTCTCTGAGTCACGGTTGTCCGTTGAGAGATCTATGTTCTTTAATGGTGTTCGTGGGACATCTGGGTGATGATTTCGTGGGCTTTTTTGCGGCCAATGATGAAGGTTCTGAGGCTGTGGTGGCGGTGTGGCCCGTTTATGGTGATGGTTTCGATGGTGTTTCGCTGCGGATGATTGATGCTGAGTTCTTGGGTTTTCGCCGCCGCTGATGAATGGTTGATGACGATGACCCTTTTAGGGTTTTCGAAAATCCGTCCTTTGATGTTGTTCTTGATGGAGCCTCGGGTTCTTCGAAATCCTCCTCCCCCTCTGACGTTCTAATGATGAACTTTATATTGTTATTTTCTTAACACTTTTGGGCCTAGATCTGCTTATATTGTTACGATTTTTAATGATTTTTTGTTTGATTTCAGTTTGGGAAACGGAGGGAATTCGCAAATTTGTTGTTATTCTGTGATGATTTGGTCTTATTTGTTTGGAAACAGAGAAATTTGTGGACTACTGGTATGGTTTTAACATTTGATTCAGTTTGGATTCCGATGAATTTTCGGAATGGTTGTTCTTGGTACGAAACTGGATATGGGTTTGTAACTTTGGACGTCCAGATTGGTTTTGGACCGTTGGATTTTTTTCTGGCTTGTTTGGATATCCATATTTTGGGTTATGGATTTTTCTTATTACCCGTTTGGAATGAACGAGAGTTTAGGTCGCATTCTAACTTCTAAACGTTGGCTTGTCTGCTCGCTAGGGGAGGCTGAAGCACGAGTTTGTTATGCGCGGAAGAAGGGGATAAACAATGCTCTTTGAAAAAAGGTGTATGAGTTGTGGATCGCACGAGGGCGAGTAGAGTGTTTGGTTAAGTATTTTGGTTTGGAAAAGAGGATAGATTTCAATAGGTTATAAGGTATTGGTTGCACAGGGCGAGAAAAAGATTGGTTAGATGTATTGGATGTTTAGCTAGAGGTGACGATTACCTGAAGCTTAAGAAAGATTTCTCGGACCTAAGTAATCGGCAGAGTGAACCAAAGACTTGGAGCTCTCTCTTTTTCAACCTCAAATGTGAAGGAATTGGGTATGGTTCGAGTAAGTGGATCGGATGACGATTACTTGAAGCTTAAGAAAGACTTCTCAGACCCAAATAATCGAGAAAGTGAACCAAAGACTTGGAACACCTTCTTTTTCATCGCAAAAGGAATTGTTTGAATGGCGCTTGAAAGATAAGATGTGGTTAAAATTTCTTTAACAGATGAGGATTACTCGAAGCTTAAGAA